ATATCAATACCTCAGAGTCAGAGACGATGCGATAGCCTACAAACTTTGGAATGATCGAAGAACGATTTCCACCGATTAGGGTTTCAGCATGACTGTGTGTCTTTCTGTGTGAGAGCTTCCACCAAAATACCAAATAGAACTATAGGATTCTCAATTCTCAAGTCTCAACTCTCAAGTAGTTAAGTGTAATTGAAGAAGAAAATCAAAGACCGGGAGAGGAGAGTAAGTTCTGAACAAGTGAAGAGTGAAGACAGAAGAGAGTTAGAGAGAGGATAGAGGGAAGAGTAGAAGATAGATCGAAGAGGCGGATAGGGTTAGGCCGAGTAGAAGAGTTATACGTATGTATATATATATATAATCCAAAACGACGCCGTTTTGGTGTTTTGGATTTTCGGGCGGATCGGGTTAGGGTTTTATAAACCCTACCCGCAACCCGGTAACTGTCCAAGCCCATGAAATTTTTCGGATATGGATAGTCGGATCGGATATCCATATCCATTCGGATAAACCCCGAAAAAAATTTGGGGGTTTTCGGGTCGGTTTATGCTCAGCCCTACTCATATATGATGGATTTGTAGGATGTGTTAAAATAATTGAAGCTATGGCTTGTTTTGAATGAGTTAAATTCCTTAAATTGGTGAATATGATTAAACATGAAATAATTCTAAAATACACTATTAATAAAATAACAATATGTATATGAAACAACTAAAATTGTACTCTTAAAGAAAGTCTAGCAATATGTATTTTTTCGCACAATTTCAGTGTGAATTAAAAAACTAATGGCCTATTTACTAACATAGATATTTTCCAGTTTTCTTTTTCTGTTTTCCGTTCTCTAATTTTCTGTTTTCATTTTCCAGTTTTTCTATCTCCAATTTTCTATTTTCATTTTTTAGTTTTCCATTTTCAAATCTGAGAACATGTTCATAAAAAAAATTCACCCGATTCTGTGACCGACTAGAAGGTCGAAAGTAGTTGAGTAGGGTACTACCCAAGTAGGGTACCAGGTCCCACATGTCTCGAACCGAACCTAGTAAAAGCCAATTAGGGTACCAGGTCCCACATGTTGGAAAGTCGGGACCGAAATTGGCCAGTCCCAGTCGATCTCAACGGTTAGTTTGACGAATTCTTTTCCCATTTCCCTATTGGTTGAGAACTCAACAATTTTTTTAAAACTCTTCATCATAAAAATGTTTTCAAAAAACTGAGACCAGACCGCATGACATTGACCGGCCCGGATAGGGACGGATGGGTAGTTGACAGGACTGGCCCGAGACCGCCCGGTTGTCGATTAGACCGAACACAGACCGTCAAATCATTGGCCAGACACGATGGGGATTGTCGGGTGATTGGTCAAACCGGACGGAGACCGCTAGGTGGTCGACCGGACAGGATGGGGACCACCGAGTCATTGACAGGACCGAACGGGGACTACCGGGTCGTTGACCAGACCGGATAAGACGAGATTACCCAATCGTCGACCGGACCAAACAGGTATCACCTGGTCGTGGACTGGACCAGACAGGGATCGTCGAGTCATCAACCGGACTGGACAGGGACTGCCGGGTCGTTGACCGAGCTGGCCAGGGGCCGCCAAGTCATGGGCTCGACCAAACAGAGACCACCGGGTTGTGGACCGGACCGGGCAGGGATTGCCGAGTCGTCAACCGGACCGGGGCGGGATTGCTCGGCCGTTGACCAGACCGCACGGGGACCGCCGGGTCAATGACACGATTAGATCGTTAGGTCGTTAACTAAACCAGATAGAGAATTTCGAGTTATTGACCGAAACGAATTGGAACTCACATCAGAGAGACCAAATCCACCACTAGGCGTAAGTATGCAAATTCATTGCAACAGCACTGTAGCGTCTGCGTTTTCCAAATTTGGAAAAGTAGAAAAAGTCACGTCTCCAAATCTTTAAGGAAAACAGAGACATAACTCATATTTTTTGTTTTAGAAAACGATTTGGTAAACGCATTTTTGTTCTCTTTTCTCCAGTTTTCAAGCAATTTTTTTGTTTTCTATTTTCGTGAAAGCTGGAAAATATCGATCTTTGTTAGTAAACAGCCCTACAGGCCATAATCTTAGCGGGCCAGTTTTTATTTTTTCACCCGGTTATATGACCGATTAGAAGACTGAAAGTACGGTCCCAGTTTGAAATCAAACCTAGTATAACCCGAGTAGGGTACCAGGTCCCACGTATAGGAAAGTCGGGACCGAAATCGGCCGATCCCAGTCGATCTCAATGATTAGTTTGACGAATTCTTTTCTCATTTCCCTATTGATTGACAACTCAACGGCTCTTTTAAAACTTTTCACTTTAAAAAAATGATTTCAAAAAACCGATACTGAACCGTTGGGTCATTGATCGACCCGGACAGGGACCGTCGGGTCGTTGACGAGAGTGGCCCGGGACCGCCTGGTTGTTGATCGGACTGAACACAAATTGTCAAGTCATTGGCCGGACAGGACTGGGACCGTCGTGTCATTGACCGAACCGGACAAGGACTATCGAGTCGTTGACAAGACCAGATCAAATCCGGGACTGCCTGACCGTCAATCGCACCAAACAGGTACCGCCTGGTCTTGAATTAGACTGGACAGAGACCGTCGGGTCATCGACCGGACCGGATAGAGACTGCCGGGTCATGGACCGGACTAGACAGGGACCGCCGAGTCATGGATCGGACTAGACAGAGTCTCGAGAATTGAAGGCAAAAGGCAATTCATTAAAGTGCGGCAATTGATTTAAGAGAAATTACCCAAAATAGGACTAAAACGTTTGTATATTCCAAAATAGGACTATCATGTTTTTATTCCCAAAATAAGACTAATTACTGCCATGTTTTGACAGTACCAGACTTTAAACATGACAGTATTCTCCAAACTTGACAGTATTCTCCAAACTTGACAGTAATTACTTATACTTTAGGAATAAAAACATGATAGTCCTATTTTGGAATTTTCAAACCTTTTTAGTCTTTTTTCGGGAATTTTCCCTTGATTTAATAGTTGGGCTGTTGTGAACCCAGCATAGCTCTTTCAATTTTTTACGAGTTTGCCATGTGGGCCTACCAAGCTACCATGGCGAAGGATCAGGTGACCTATCTACTACCGAAAAGGAATATACGCTGCGAGCAGGGAATTATACTTTCTCCGTATGCGAATATCCATTTCGATCATTCAAAGCTCGAAGCCGGCATGTGAAATGAAGAGTATGCCCTTATTGTACTGTACAATTCCCCATTGCCCTCTCCATTTAAAATTACTTGATTACCCTGCCATAGTTTTAAAAGAATACATACATACGGAGTGTAATAATAATATAGTTATAATAATACATGACCCTATTCTATGGACTTTCTTTAATCAAAACCAAACATTCTTCCTCCTTCCCATTTAATCAAACAGGATAAAATCTCATCCAATCAAATCCAAATCAATTTAAATATCCTTCCCTCTGTCTCAATTTCCTTATACCATTACAATTGAATGGTGATAAAATTAAAAAATATTTCATGATAAAATATATATTAAATTTAACATTTAAAATTTACATATTTAGAAAGTATAATATACCGAGTGTTATACCGGATAGAAGAACCAAATCCATAGAAACTCCGATGAATAAGAGTACAAAAACTTTAAAATTTCAAATTAGGAGTATTCTATTTTCTCTTAATAAAAGTAGTTATTTTCATAGCTTGGATAATAATCTCAGTTACTACATTAATACAGTCATATCTTTGTTTTTGCAAGATTTAATACAATCATATTCATGCCTGAAAATGTCAAAATATTATACTATGATGATTTAGATGAGAGTGCAAGTAATTTTATCCTATTTAGCCATTTAGGAAACGAATAATACTTCTAGTGTGAACTCCACATTAATTTTACTTCATTTTTGGATAATTAAATAAGAGTCATTATATGGTGTACCCCATTTTGGGTACCCATTTGTATCCCCTTATTTGTGTGGTTCACAAAAGGTCATTCATAAATGAATTGTCTCATTTATTATGATTGCTTTTGGGAATCACGCAAATATGGAGTAAAAATGGGATATCCAAAATAGGGTACACCTATTATTTTTCATTAAATAATTGTACTTCACTAATCGACACAAATGAAGTACTATACAAGATAAAACTGAGTTATATAGATATACTTCATGTAGATTGCTTATGTTCCCTCTTAGCTTGAATCAATTAGAAAGTATAAACATAATAAATCATCGCACTGTTCGGAAAATTTGAAACTCGACCAATTCAGATAAGACTAAATCAAGTCAGATTAAAACATTTTAGTTCAATTAAAAGCATCATAATGATCAATCCTACCATCGATTTTGAAACATCATATTCTATCAAACTTTGAAAAAATATGTCCTTATTCAAGATGATTGTGGTAGGTAGTGATACCACATATTAAAATATTGTGATAAGTCCATTATTTTTTTCCTTTTTTGGTAATATGCTAATTTTTCACCATTTCGTCATTATTAGTTGAAACTCTAACATTTTAATTTATCAACACTTTTTTTATTGATATTGATACAGTATCCATGTATATTTCAATAAAACTTTAGTGTTGATATGTGAAGTCAACATTACCATCGGGAGCACATTACTTGAGAGCAATAACGACTAAATCAAATGTAAACGTAGGCACGTAGCTATTGCCTATAGTAAAAGAAAAAATACTCTTTATAACGTAACTATCCTTCAAATGCTTACCATATAAATACACTAGCTTAATTAATTGGCAATGCAAAACAAAAAATTACAGATGACTTGCAATGGTTTATTGTTAATGTTTATTTAATTACTACGTATAAAATTGAAAGAAAAAAAATTTTAGCTCAAAAAAGTAACACAATAGACTACATGTGTGAACTGGGCAGCCAAGTCTGATCTCGTGTAATCTCAATATATTTTATAACTATCCATATATGGTCTGATTTGATTTGATTTTGACGATTTGAAGATAGAAAACAATCTAATTAAAAACATCATTTTTAGATAGATAGTGTTCGTAGTACAAGTTGCTCAATTCGAATCTCTCAATGACAGTTATTTTATCTGTACAAGTAGCTGAGTCGGTGGAGCGAAGAAAAAATTAAAACATTAACTAAAGATTGAAACTTATAACGATCATGTTAAGGTTAACTCATTTGAGCCGGTTAAATCATAGCGACTTACCGTTCCCGAATTCCTTTGTATAGTGGAGTACAAGTTGCTCAAACAGGGGAGTAAAAGTAATACGGTAGGGGTGTAAATGTCAATGTCAGCCTTACCGGCACATAAAAAGTCAAGATCCTTATTATAATCGCGAGGGTATTTGCGGTAATATGAACCGTCCATATTCATTAAAGGTTAGCTTTATATGAGACCTCCATATCCAGGATGTTCGCTCTCGTCTTCCTGGAAGAAAAAAAGCTTCTCAAAGTCTAAGACCTCTTCTCTGGTGTATACATAAATAATCTAATACACACATAACAATATTACTCGTAATATATAGTGTGAGAATCGGATCAAACGTAACAGTGGGAGAATACGGCACTAAAATAAGGTTTGCTGCTTCTTATCTCATTCATTCTTCTCTTCCTCATCAATTTCCACTTCAAATTTGAGGTATTCCAGTTGTTCTTTGATTGGGATTCGGCATTAAAAATCATGTTTTGTGAACGGATTCCGTCTTTTTTATTGGATTTTTAATATTTTATCTGCGGGAAGTTAATTTTCTGCAGGAAATATTTGTTCTGGTGTTAAATGGTTTATTATTGGTCAGATTCTGGGGATAAGGTTTGATTTTCGTTATCATTTTAATTAACTTCAAAACTGAAACTTTAATTTGTTTTGCAGATTCATGCTTTTTTGGCTGAACCCAAATGCCCAATAGCCAAGGTTGTCGACTTGTCGGTCGGAGTTTTTTTCTTAGGTGGGAGTATCTTTCTTTTTCTTACTTACTACGGAGTAATTACTATTACCTCTTAAAACTTACGGAGTACATAATTTGGAAATGTGAATTATCTGAGTTTTTTTTTTTGTCAAAAATTATCTGAGTTACATAATTCTAAAATAATAAAATGCATAGCCTCAGTCTCCGAAAATGAGCTTAAAAACTGGCCTACTTTTGGATACACAATCAAACGAAATTGCTCCATAAAGTCCATATGGGAGTAGTATATAAATAGAGTGGGCACATGAGAATAGCTATATTTTCTTATCAAAATATGACTTTTTTAGTTTTATTAAAAATATAAATTCTCTTAATGAGTCATACCTCAGGAATAAAAATCATGAAATTATTTATGAACTTTGTTTATGTTTTACTCTTATTTAGAAATTTTTCTATTTAATCATAAGGAGGAGTATTACATAAAATAGCGTTTTTTTGAGATAGATTCTATGGTATCCTTAAGATACCATACCTTTGTCCACATGGACCAATCAGAATGATGTAGTTGAATTATTTAAATCTAAATTAAAAATGATGTAATGATTTGAACCAATCAAGTGAGTGGTAGGTACGATACTCCATTTTTTAAATGGGTACCGGAGTTGTCACCTTTTTCTGATACCATTTTTAAAAAAATTAAAATAACGTGTTTTCACCAAAATATAGCAAATATTTGCAAAAAAATGTTGTGCACGTCTCACTAGTTGTGACTTGTGATGGTTAAATAATTGGTTTTTAGTGCATACTTTATTTTCTTACTTTGAAAAATATATTTAATCTATCAATGAAGAAGATCCTCATTCACAAAGCGACATGGAGTGAGATGGATTTTGTTGCGTTGTGGGTTAAATTTTTCGACTTGTTTTTTCGGTTTCACGTTTAATCATTTTCATGCACTTAATCTGATCGGTTAAATTGTACAAGTATTCCGTATGAATTAATTACGCACCATTAATGTTTAAAATTAAGTGAGATGGAAATTAATAAAGTTCCTGCCCGTTTTAAAAGTTAAAGCCTTTTCCCCTTGTGCTTGAGAGTTGATATGAAATGAACTCTGATTTTTTTTGAGAGTGAAATGAACTCTGATTTTGTTGATATCATTTAAATGATTGATGTTATGAAAAGATTAGAATTACTGAATCAGTAATATGGTATCAAGTATCAACCCATTTGAAGCTAAGAGTTGGCACATCTTGTAAAGAAGTTACTTTTCTTTTATTAAGTTCCTAGTTCATTCCTAGAGTACAAGTTACTGGGGTTTTAGAAGAGTGTTCTAACTTCAGGGGTAATTTGAGTTCTAAGATAAAAATTTCATTTTGAAGGACACTATAAATGCCTAAATTATACTCCTCATCTCATTAAATGACTATGTTTGTCGGGAATATGAAATACTCCGTAAGATATTAAAAATTGTATGCATTATTAAATATCAGATTCATCTTAAAAGGTTAATCTAATAGGAATAATCAAAGTCTATTTTGGCTTGTTGTGCATTTATATACGAAGTATTCTTTTTAGAATTTTGTCTAATCATTCTGTTTGCAACTTGTCTCAGGATTTTATCATTCTTGGATTCATAGGAGAGCAACTTTTTTCAAAATTTATATCCTATAATGGGATCTCTTCTGGCAGAGAGAAAATTCAAGACACCACTAGGAATACAGTTGTTTAAGTGTCTAAAGAAGTCGCCCATCTCATACAAAACATATCAAGCAATTGTTCTAATAGTTACATTTCTGGCATACGCGGCGTACCATGCTACTAGAAAAACTACCAGCATTGTCAAAAGCGCTCTTGATCCTAAATCATCCGATTTAGGCATGAAATCTCCACGGCTAAGATGGGCGCTTGGTAATGGTTGGTTTCCTTTTAACGGTAAAGATGGAACGGAATTGCTAGGGGAACTTGATGTGGCGTTCCTTTTTGTATATGCACTAGGGATGTATTTCTCAGGGCACGTAGGTGATAGGATGAACCTTAGGATATTCTTAACAACAGGAATGGTCGGAACTGGTCTGTTCACTGGACTTTTCGGCTTTGGGTATTGGGCGAATATCCATAATTTCTATTACTATTTGACCGTCCAAATGCTGGCTGGGTTGTTCCAATCCACGGGCTGGCCTTCGGTGGTTGCGGTTGTTGGAAATTGGTTTGGGAAGAAGAAGAGAGGGCTTATAATGGGGATTTGGAATGCCCACACGTCAATCGGGAACATAACCGGGTCATTGATTGCATCCGTTTTGTTGAAGTTCGGGTGGGGTTGGTCATTGGTTATTCCCGGGATTTCTATCACCTTCACTGGCTTACTTGTGTTTCTTGTATTGCCCGTGGACCCTGAATCGGTTGGGGCTAGTGAAGATGAAGACAATATCCACTCCCTTGAAAAGGAAGAGATGAAAGTAACATTACAACCTCTTCTGAGATCAGATGAAGTGGAGAACGAATCTGCTGTGGGTTTTGTTGAAGCTTGGAAGATCCCAGGGGTTGCACCTTTCGCCCTTTGCCTCTTCTTTGCAAAATTGGTGGCCTATACTTTCCTTTATTGGCTTCCTTTCTATATTAGCCACACAGGTATGTTTAACCTTTATTACCTATGCTATAATCCTGATTGGTTAAGAGCATCTCCAATGCTACAATGTGCACGGTGCACATGTGGCATGAGAGAGATAGACACAAAAGATTGATTTTATGACATTTCTCTCTCCGTCTTTCCACGATCTTATGTGTCTTTGGTAAGTTTTTACCTGCAATGTCAACCACAATGTCTAGATGTAGACATTGTGCTTGACATTGTGAAGAAAAACTTACCAAAAGGATATAAGATCCTTCAAATAAGGAGAGAGATATTTTATTTATTGTTCTTTCATTGGCTATCTCTCATGCCACGTATGCACTGATAACGTTTTAGCATTGAAGATGCTCTAAGCTATTGGCAAAACCAATCAGGTTATTCAGGACCTAAATATGGAAATAAAATGTGTACTTGAAAAGGACAGTCTAGTGTCTAGGACGTTGAATTTTTACCATCATGTTTTAGGTTGGAAAATTGCAACAACCATTCTTGATGTACACACCTTTGTACACACCTTTGTACACACCTTATACACACCATGTTTGTGAAGCTTTTATATTGTCTGTGAATCCGGTTCACAGACAATATTTTGTTTGTGCAAAACATTGTCTGTGAATCGATGTTCACAGACAAAAAAAAAGCTTTCACAGACATAGGTGTGTACAAAAGTGTGTATAAGAGTGTGTACAAACATCATTTTTGCCTAAGTTATGGGATTGATTTTGCAATTTGGTAACTTAGGGCAGTGACAATTCTACTCGGTTGGCAATTTTGGCTGAGTAACTTTAAATAAAAAGTAAAATTTGAGGACCTTTTTCACATCACATGACTTCATTTAATTCCTTTTAAAGAACTAGATTTAATCTTATTTTTAATCCTACAAATATGACACTTTTTGTTTTTATCTTTACAAAATGCTTTTTCATCCCTACAATATCATGTGTGAGAGGTCACATGAGAGAAAATCACAAAAACATTGAATCAAAGGAGTGCTTGCAGAAAATTAAAAAAAAAAAACTTTTCAGCTGTTGTCTTTAAAAAAACTGAAATTGGTGTTTTCAAGTATCAGCTTCTACTTAAATTAATCATTTAAAAGTTGAAAAAATGGAAGTAGATTGAGAGGTGCTTTAAACTGATTTTCACTTTTTCTATTACACAAAAACACTTATTTTATCAAACACTACCAACTTTTACTTTTTCATAATCACTTTTTTCTCAAACACTACCAACTTTTTCATAATCACTTTTTTCTCAAACACTATCAACTTTTACTATCCATCACGTTTCCCAAAATCATTTTAAAAAATCACTTTTTTAAAGTATAAGCAATCGCAAACACTCCCTAAGCGGAATCCAGTGAACAAGGTTCTTAAAGTACTCATTTTCCCGAGTTACTGGAATAAAATTGTTACTTAGGTTAAAATGCAACCCATCAAGTTATTAGACTAAATCTTTAGCTATCCCTTCAAATTTAAGACATTTCATTTGTTCTATTAATTAAAACATCAAAATCTCTTGTGACATTGTAGCAATCGACGGGAGGTACTTATCTAACGAGGAATCGGGAAACTTGTCAACCTTATTTGATGTCGGAGGGGTGGTTGGTGGGGTCCTAGCCGGCTACATTTCTGATCACCTCAATGCCAGAGCCATCACAGCTGCAACCTTCATATACTGCTCCATCCCAGCTCTCTTCTTGTACAGAAACTTTGGTGATGTCTCCATGTCCATGAACATTCTTCTGATGTTGATCACTGGCATGTTTGTGAATGGACCTTATGCGCTGATAACAACCGCAGTTTCAGCTGACTTGGGAACACACAGCTCGTTGAGAGGAAACTCAAGAGCACTTGCAACGGTCACCGCCATTATAGATGGAACAGGCTCTATTGGTGCGGCAATTGGGCCTTTGTTAACGGGCTACATATCTGCTAAGAGCTGGAATGGCGTCTTCACAATGTTGATGGGGTCTGCTCTAGTTGCAGGGTTGTTACTAACTAGATTGGTTGTGTCTGAGGTTGTTGATAAGATTCGAAATTCCACTAGTCATAATGAGCCGAGGTTAAACTCTTGTGTCAATGATGTGTAAGAATACTTTCAGAAAATGCAAGTAAATGGGCCACTTAATTTTTATCAAACCGACCCTAAGCTTGTCTCAAGCAGCATGGTGATAGTGTAGTGTAAATAAAGAGTTAAGATTTGATATCAAGACTTTATCAAGTGTTGTTCAAGTGTTGTCCTGAAGGGAATGAGAAGATGAAAGATGTAAATCATAATTATGAATGCATACTAGTTTGCAACAAGATGCTTGAATTGTCAAAACTATTCTCAGTAAATTTTAGATTTTAGGCTAACTGAGAATCGCTGTCAATTGTAGATGAACTGGTGATTGTACATTTTTATGGTGTCCAATAATAGTGCTTTGAGCCTTCAATACTGGAATATTCATTGTTTTTAGCTAGTGACAATAAATGTTTAATACATCATCTTGTTTCTTGAGTGAATCGATTGCAGATAGCTCTGTTATGGCATTATCTGTCAATCTCCAGTATCATCAAATTAAGCAAATACATCAAAATGAAAACATTAAGTTATATGCTAAGGTTCTTTTAAGTTATACGGAGTAACAACTTCCTTGACATTTATTTATCATTATCTTTTTAAACATGCTTTTTATATCACAGATTTAATCGATTTTGTTTCCAAAGTAATATTGTAATCCAGAATGGTCCTTAATTTTTCTACCAAATTGGGAATAGTGTTAAGTGGGACCATAAATCTGGAATACTTAGGGTCCGTTTGGATGGATGTTTTTTTACTGAAAAGCAGTAGGCTGCTGTTTGAACAGCTTGTTCTATACAGAGTATTTTGATAAATAGTTTAAAACTGAATAAAAGATCTGAAATATCATACCATCATATATTAATCTTTCAATTTGTTATATACAATCTCAAATATTTATCTCATGCGTAGTATAATATTACATTGCACAACAAGACCTTGATCCAGAATTTTTTAATGGAGTTAGGAAGTGATAGAAACGCCACAAATACAGGTTTTTAAGAATTAAAATAAGAGCCATTATTTTAGTGATGAGAGGGTGACAACTTACTGTGCCTTCCATTTCTTTTCGGGTTGAGACTTCTTTGTCACTTTCATAAAATTTGCATTTAGTGATAAGAGGGTAACAACTCTACAATCTATCAGAACTTTGTTTTGCCCACAATATAATTTCTTTCTTTCTTTTCACTAGCATAAGAATTTTGACCTACTCCACTACTTTAATGGCTCTTATTTTTAATCTTCAAAAGAAACTGTGTTTGTGGTACTTCTATCACTTCCCAACTCTATCCAAAAATTCTTAATCAAGTGATTAAATATTTGACATTGTATAAAAGAAATTGAAAGTTAATATATGATGGTATGATATTTTAAATCTTTTATTCAGTTCTTAAACTATTTATAAAAGATATAAAACAAACTGTTCAAAACACTTCTCTTCAACATTTGTCCAATACTTCAATACACTCCAATTTGGAGGGTTAAAAACTCACCTATTGAGGTGTTAGGGAAGTTTCCCCTAACAATTTTAAACACTTGTTAGCACTCCATTTTTTTTAAATATCTCTTCCAAACAAGTGTGCAGACCAAAACCCTTCAATACTTCCATTGCTAACACCTTTGAACACTCCATCCAAACAGGTCCTTAAGTCCTCCAGAAGCCTTTCTCTTAAAACCCCACCATCCAAACGGGCCATAACTCATAAGTGAAAATATGTAAAAATTGTCTTATAGTTAAAAGAAACATCAAGCTGCGCGTTTAGCTTCACAATATTGTCACTACTAATTGTAACCATCATTCCATGGAAACAATATCTCTCCCTTCCTGTTGGAAGTATAAAGAAAAAGACAAATTACATTGCCCAAATTCACTAATTCAGAACTACAGTATGTCAAATTAGAGCCAAAGCTTGCAACTTTATTGCAGCAATTGGCATAAAAAACGTCAATGAAAAAGATTAATTAATATGTCGAACAAGGATAAACATTAAAATTTATGAAATTTCAAGATCTTCCCAGAAGTATTTCTAGTTAATTGCAAATTCCAAATACACATTTGAGTATGTAAAAAATACAGTAAATAAACCTGGTATTAGAAAACCCTAGGGCTAATCGCCGGGTTTTGGGGGCTTCCGGTACTTCTCTTCGATGACTTTAGCCTGAACCAAAACGGCCTCAATAGTTTTCCGAATGTTTGGAACATTGTAGTTCTGAGCGATGTATATTCCGCAGACTGTTCCAGATATGAAGACGAAATTTCCCCTGATTATTCCCATCGTTTACCGGAGGCTCTGTAGAGGCAAAGCTGCAACGGCGACTGTCTTCGAGCACCGCAAAATTAATCGCCGCCGATGAGCTAAATATAACTCGGTTTATACCTTGGGCATGTTTGGATTTCGCGTTTCAATCAATATGCCAAACTCAAACAAACTCAAAACATGGTAAATTGTAGCCTATTATTCTAAAAGCAGTAATTACTCCAAATAAGATTAAAAGTATGACACAAACTTAAAATATGACTTATTATCTTTTTCTTTTCAATATAGGACCAAATTAGTCCTATTGCAAACATACCTATTTTTTCCTTCCATTTATACCTTCCTTTAAATATGAATTAATTAAATATTTAATTAATAATAAATTCGAAAAAAATTCGAAAAATCGTTGAAAAATAATTAAAAAATTTATAAACTATTTATAAAATAAAAAAATAAAAAAACTATTTTTTTTATTTTTTTTTATTTTTTTTAAAAAATAGTAAAACTCCATAAAAAACAAAAAAAAACATGGATGCCTTTCCCACCGCCTGTACTACCTCCTTGCACCACCATCTCCGGGCGGTGAAAAATGCTATTTTTCCTAAAAACTGCCATTTTTTTTTCGGAAAATGTCAAAAACATGACATATTTCTCTATGAGAATGCCAACATTTTCATTGTTTTCTGCCATAAATATGGCATTCGTAATGAACTTGGCATTTTTTCCCCGGTGGCTGGAGGTGGTGGTGCAGAGGCGGCAGAGGCGCCGGTGAATTTTATTTTATTTTTTTGAGTTTTTTATTTTTATTTTATTTTTTTTGAAATAAATAAATAAATAAATTATTATTATCGAAATATTTTTATTAGTTTTTAGTATTTTTTACGATTTTTTATTATTTTTTATTACTTTGTTATGAATTAAAACATTTCAGTAGCTAGAAAGGTATATTTGTCCAAGACACACATATATTAGTCCTGTGAAAACATAGTTTAGTTTTGGTCCTATTTGTGCAAAGTGGGTGACTTTTAGTCCTATTTTGATAATTAACCCTTCTTAAAGTTATTACTAACTAGAATAACAACTTGTTTAAATGATCTTTTATCATGATGATTGGTAATGTGTAATTTTGTTTAATAAAATATAGTACAGTTTAAGAGCCCGTTTGGTAATCAAAATATTTTGCGTGTTGAATTGTGTAATAATAAGAAAACTTAACGGGTGCAAATTCAATCTAATATCTAAATTGAGGTCCTAAATCTAATTTTGTAATACTCGGCCAAAAAAATCTAATTTTGTAATACAATATCATTTCTCAAATTTGTATTAGAAAGTACTACTTCCGTTGGGACCAGCCTATTATGATATACTCCCTCTATCCCGAAATTAAGTTCCCGATTTGACCTACACACATATTTATGTAAGAATATAAGATAAAGTTTTGTTTTGAGTTTCCATTTATACCCCTGCTTTATGTCAAATCAAAAAAAAAAGTGGGTAGAAGTAAGAGTAGTTGTGACTTATTGGTTAAAAGTAGTTTTCTTTTATAGAAATTAGAACTTCTTTTAGGGACATCCATAAAAGGAAAGTGAAAACTTTTTTTCGGAACGGGGGTAGTACTATCGTATAATTTATATTATTACCAGGAGATAAAGAAAAATGCTAGTTGTACATTTTATTTGTGTGATAATTTATTTAAAAGTGTTCAAACAAAAAGTGTTTTATATTTGTTAAAAAACTAAAATTAGTGTTTTCAAAGATGGATTTTACTTAAATTAAATACTTCAAAATATAGAGTTGTAAGCGGAATATGCTTTAAATTGTTTTCACTTTTTCCACAATGATAAAAATAATTTATCCTTCTCGCAAACATGGTCAATTTTGCTTATGTAACTGTTCAAAAAACTTTATTTGCCATTTTTATTTAAAGTACGGAGTAATAGATATGGCAAACGTATTTAGAGTTGTCTTGATTACGATCATTTTTTTCATATATATGATAAGTCATATTTTATGTGTCTTGGATAGGAAAAATAGTCATCTTGAAAGACTGCAATTAATTTTGAGATACTCATTACTTAAATGGTTGAGCAATTAGAAATTTGCTATATTTGTGGTTATCTATATGTTAATTGAATTTCACATAAGGCAATATCAGTCAAATTTGCTACTGCCCCTATACATCTATACTTGTGCGATTTTTAATGTTTAATGACAGTAATTTTTTTATTCAACATTTATTTCCAATTATATCCTTCAAATGAGCAAGAATTTTGTCTCCAAAAAATGTAGCAATTTTGCTATTTTATATAATACTCTGTATAAAGATTATAAAAATATCAGGTGTACTCGGTTGTACCTTTTAATTTGTCATTAGTCTATTAGATGAGCATTTTCACACAAAAGCCAAAAAAATAAAACAAGCTTTATAATGAAGAAAATTATACTAGTAGCTTTTCCTTGGGCAATAATAAAACTAGTTTTCAATCCATATAAAATAGTATATGTAGTATTTTTTTTTGCAAAAATAGTATATGTAGTACTTCCTCCGTTCCAATTTGATTTGCAAATTTTTGTTGTTGTCCCAAAATGGTTTTCCACTTTCTATTTTAGGTATGTGAATAAGAATAAAATGACAAATTTACCCTTACTTTTACTTTTTCCCCATTAACTTAAAGGCATCTACTTTTAGAAAGATGGGTAAAACTGTAAAAAACAAGCATCATTTATTGTCATTTCTTAATCCTTGTGCCGGTCAAAGTTTGCAATTCAATTCGGGACGGAGAAAGTATATTAGTAGCCATCAACGTATATTCAAACGTGATGGGAGAACCGTTCAGTATACTAGTATATGTAGTACTCCCTCCGTCCCACAATGAACTTCTCACTTTCATTTTTTGGATGTCCCAAAAATAAGTTCTCATTTCCTTAAATGGCAAGTTAATCTACATCAAAACAGTGTCAAACAGTGCAAAACAGTGCCAAACAGTGTTGAAAAAGTGCGAAACAGTGTCAAACAGTGTCGAAACAGTGTCAGCCAGTAAAATTTATCCCATGGTAAGTTTATTTCCTTAATATGTGTGTAGGTCAAACTGTGAAGTTCATTGTTGGACGGAGGGAGTATATTTTATAATTGTAGTATATGTTAACAATCAAAAATACCCATGATATATGAATATTTGGAAGGTATAATGCATCTCATTGTGTGGACAAATGAAATAGTGACACCTGAAAATAGTGGGACATGAAATAGTGTCATTAATGAATTGATAATGCTATTGAGTGAGAAAGGTAAATTTATCATACACTCGTACCATATAAATCTCCTACTCAAAATCCTAATTCTAACCTCTCTTGGGTTCGATCATGGTTCCCACAAGACCCCATTCAATCGCCGCCCCCGCCAAATGTGGGATGTCACTGCCATCGCCGGGGCGCCGGGCCACCAGGATTTGTCACCGCCGCCCTATACCAATCGTTGCAGACTTGCAGCTACCTCCTCCTCCCCCACCCATTCCCCTCCCTCCCCTCTCCCCCTCCACCTCCACCTCCCCCTTCTCCTCCTCCAGCAACGAGTACTGCTTGTGACAAAGTTGGCTACGACCTCCAATTGTCGACGACTGCATGCATTTTGGGACGATGCTAGCGGTGGTGGTGTGGCTACTGTTTTATGAAGGTGCGGTGGTGATGGTCGGGTTTCAAAGTAGTTGCGACATAGGGGAGGGTTCTGTAGCGTGGTGGTGTTGGAGGGGTAGCGTGCTGCGGGCGACTGTGTTGGCAGCAAATATAAGTACTTTCCTAAAAATAAATTTTACGTAAATATAAGAACTAGAATCATTGTTCAAACTTTTTTTATCATTGATCAAGATAATACAAATTGGTCAAGCTTTGTGAAACCAAGGGAGTAGTGGACAATGTGTTTAATAAACTTTCTAGTTTGTTCAAATTGTGCGTGAAATTTCATATAACATTTAATTTATACAAGTTTTTTAAAATAAACTTTATATCTTATTTAAATATTAGCTACATTTGTTTTTTTACTTTGAGTTGATGAGTAAAATGATGGTTGTCATTATTCTTGTGTTGAAATAAACTCAAAGAAGTTACTCTCTCCATCCCATTTTTATCTACTTTATTTTCCCATTTTGGGTTATCTCAAAATAAGTGGCATATTTTTTCCTTTTGAAAAGAATTATGTAGTCCACAATATTTCACTTTATTATATTCAAATTCAAATCAAAATTTTTATTTTTCAATCACTTTATTATAATTGTGCCAAATCAAAACAAGACGCATAAAATGGGACGGAGGTAATAGCTTTTAGTTGAATTGAGATAATGAACGAACTGCGATTGCTCCATGTTTTGAGTATTTAAATTTGTTTAGTCGGTGATGTGTTCTCTTCATACCTTAGATAAATGTCGCCATCTAGCTTCTTTAATGTAGTACGAAGTAGTTGTTTTATTTGCTTGTTGATAATTTCAGCTTACTCTTTTTGGGAGTTTATATAATATTCTTTTTGCTACTCATCATCACACAATGATCTGTATTGATGTAACTAATGAAGTATATTCTCATATACCCCAGTGATATCAACATTGACGGATAAAAGATCTCTAGAATCCACCTAGTCATTTTACTACTGAGGCCGAGCTTGACCTCGACCAAGATCGAGTCCGAGTTTGAGTTCCAGATTATCGGGATAAGTCCAGAACTGCATTTGAGGCCGAGGTCGATCTTCACCCAAGTCAATGTCTAATCCAACGTCATTAACCGAGCCTAGAGTCAAGTGGCGCTCCACAAAGTCAACATATTAGAGAAAGCATCGCTACTTCGCGTAAATTGAACTGAGGCCACCCTCCCATGTGCTCGACCTCACCTGCAGAGCTGTGAACCTCATAAAGAGACTGTGAACTTAGTCATTTCAGCACTCAAGTTTCGCATAGAAGATTCCAGATTGCACATGTGTGGCTTGCACACGTGTTCTAGTACACAATAGGATAAAATCTGTTATGCACGGTACCAATCGATTTTCCGCTTACCCTAGGTCGGTAGTCATCAGTAACCATTGCAAAGGGATCCATCTCCCTCATTCAATGACCTGTCCGATTATGACTTGCATTAACAGACTTGCTGCAATCACTTGAACTTTTCCTCAGATATCTTATAAGTTGCCTCCTTAATCTCATTCCTGAGATAGATAATGGTCTCTTAATCTCTTTGTTCACATCCACTGTGTAATGCATGTTATACTCTTCCTATCTTAGCAATAACCTATTTCTCGATTCATTCAAAGAGGTGGATGCTTACTAGTAAGTAACAGCCCAAAAGAGATATTTAGATAAAAAACTAAAGTGCTTAAAAGAGAATACAGATTAATGATATAGTTGGTATAACTGAATGAAAAGATACTTTGTAAGTTTTTTTAATAACTATTAACTTTTAGTCACTACAAAGATCTTAAAACAAAGAGACTGTATTGTTTGATAAAACCTGACCGTTTGATTCATTTTTGTTTGATATAATAAAATATTGTGACTAATTGATGATTTGATGTTAAATGCTACATACTTTTTCTAAGAAGCTATTGAGTGTAACTTCTCAAAAACGATCTTTTATTTCTTTAAACACTTATAATCATTGTTGTACCAAACATACAAAACCCAGAAGGCAGGAGTTTATGCCTATCAAACATGGACTAAGAAAAATGAGTAAAGACCTAACGTCTTCTTAGAAAAACTACATAATACTAATACATGGCGATAGCTACTCCCATTTAAAAACTAAAAACCATATGAATCGTATTTTAGAATTCACAAATGATTTAGTGTATAACTACACTCTAAAACTCTAAAACAGCTTCTCTATTCGATATCCCCCCCCCCCCCCCCCCCCCCCCCCAAAAAAAAATATATTTTGCACTTATTTAATAATGTATATAGAATACATTTCGTACAGTTCCGGGCTAGAATCATTGTAGTTTTCTCAAGAGAAATTGCCCAATATAGGAGTAAAACTTAAAACTTCCTTCAACAGGAGTAAACGTTATTCTTGTACCCTTAATATCCCTAACCTAGTTAATTCTAAAAATACGACTTATTTAATCCTGGTTAAAAAAAAATCTAAGTTCATTCACGGGAAACGATACCTTTATGCAGGCCATTTAATTTTAAAAATTATCTAAGTTCATCCCAACAATATTAAAATATTAAAAATTAAAAATTATATTTTTGTAAAAATAAAAAACTTTAAAAATAAATAAAAAATAGATAAAATGTATTAAAAAATATAAAAAAATTATGCAGGCCTTTCCCGCAGCCTCGGTCATCACCCAACAATGTCACCTCCGATCGGCGAAAAAATGCCATTTTATGTAAAAATTGCCATTTTTCGTTGAAAATGCCATAAAGATGATAGTTTTACTCTTTGAAAATGCCAGATTTTCTCAAAATCTGCCATCTTGATGACATTTCGGGAAAATGTTGGCATTTTTTTCGGTGGTCGGAGCTGGTGGTGTTGGGAGGTTGTTGAGGCGTCGACAGACGCCTACATATTTTTTTTATATTTTTTTCATTTTTTATTTGATTTTTATATTTTTTTATTTTATTTTATTTTAAAAAAATTTTATTTTATTTAATATAAGCCCTCGAGCTAGCCGAAAAAGTGCAAATCACTGCTTTTATAGGAGTCTCTGTCAGGCCGTCATCATTTGGAGCGGTTACCGGTGGAATTTTTTGATGAATTCTTTTGAGCATCTTCTTCATTAAGTCTAGTTTACCTGTATCAAATTTCAGCTAAAACTGCAATCGGGAAGGTAGTCAAATAAATTCTTGAAGATAACTGCGCAGTTAAACAACGCAGTATATTTCAGAAAATCATTCGACTGCCTTCCCGGTTGAATTTTTAGCTGAAATTTGGTATGGATAAACTAGATTTAATGAAGAAGATGTTCAAAAAAATTCATCAAAAAATTCCAACGGGAACCTTCCCAAATGGTGACGGATGGACAGAACCTCCTATAAAATGGGTGTTTTGCTCGGTTAGTTCGAGGCTTTGTACTTTTTCCCTTAAATTAATGATGCCAGAGTGTAATTATATTATGGATTTGAAGTGACTACTTATATACCTGACAGACTAATTACTCATATGTAAAAAACGAAAAATATAATTACAAAATTTGTTTACTTGCTTTTCACAAAATTTTCATTTATTATTATTATTATTAGTTTTTTGTTTTTGATAAAGTCATGAGTTACTTGACTAATCAATATCAATATATATATATATATATATATGTGTGTGTGTGTGTGTGTGTGTGTATATATATATATATATATATATATATATATATATATATATATATATAAGAGGAACTTTTTAAGAGCATACATCATAATCCTGCCATGTCATGCATAATATATAACGATTATTTAGTTATTTTTATACTCCGTACCTTTTATTTTTATTGGATTCTATTTTTGATTGCATATTGATATGGAAACAATTGACTCTAGATTCCGTCACTTTTGAAATAGATGGATTCCTAATCTAAATTAGGAAATTTTTATATGTTTACAAATTCCTAATTTTGTTTACTCTTAAGATGTTTTTAATTAGATTGATTTCAATCTCAGACTAAATCAGATCAGATCAAATTTTAATAATAATTGGACACATAAAATGTAAAACAGAAATCTACCAGATCATATTACTTTAGACCAAATCAAAGTTGAAAATTTTAATTCAAATAAAAACTTCCTTATTAATGACGTTTTCAATGTGATGTAATAATAAGTAAAATGTAAAATCCTATTATTAAAAGTATGTACTCCATATTTCATACCAAGTTGAATGTGGAATATTAAAAAATAGGCTGTTTTGCCTCAAATGGGACTAAATTGTTCCTAAAATTCCTAAATAGGACTATGTAAATTTTTATTCCCCATATAGGACAAGATTACCCATTCGCCCTTATTTTCCTCCTTTAATTTGATCTCCCTACGCCACACCATCGATCCCTTCCCCTGCGCATTTCTTCTCCCTCCCCGACATATCTGCGCACTTCTTCTCCCTCCCCTGCATATCCGCGCACTTCTCCCTCCCCTGCACACCTGCACATCTTCTTCTCCTTCCACTTCACATAGGAACAACGAACATAGAAGCCCAGTGATAGTCATCGCCGCCGCCGCCGTGAAGTCCATCGCCACCATCGCGAAGTCCACCGCCGTGAACGGTCATCCGCGAAAATGCCATCAATATGGCAACGACTAGTAGTGAACGGTCATCCACGAACGACGAGCTTGGAGGTGCATAATCACGAACCTTTGCTCATCTTTCTTCTCCTCTTCTTGGTTCTTTCTTCTCTGGTCCAGGTGCTATTTGAAAGCATTGAGATGCTCTATTTCTTTTTGTTTGTTCAAAATGCCAAGTTAGATCTAAAAATGTCATCAAAATGGCATTTGAACTCTTCCAAAATTTCGCATTTTCTATTCAAAATGCCATTAAGATGGCATTCTCAACCCGTGTTTGGCATTCTAACTAAAATGTTGGCATTAGTAGTGGCGAAGGCTGGATCTGCACCGGCTGAGGCAGAATCTACAGCGGTGGAGGACGGATTTGCGGTGACAGCGGTCGGATCTACAGGACTGGCTGCCGGCGAATCGGCGATGGACAAATCTACGTCGGAGGTGACCAGATCTGTACTGGCGGTGGTCAGATCTGTAGCGACTGTTTCCGGATCTACTACGATAATCAGTTTTGAGGCGGTGGCTGGTGGCTGCCAGCAGCGACAGGAGACCAACGGCGGGGCAGCGACCGGCGAGAGGCGTTCTGGTCCCAGCAGTATCAATTCCAAGCATCAAAGGCGTTTTTGTCCAATTACAGATTATTAGTCCTGTTTAGGAAATTTTTAGACTTTAGTCCTATTTTGGCAATTAAAAGTTGATTTACTTCTATTTAAGTAAATACCTCTAAAAAATATATTTTGAGGCGCATAATAAAGTAATTTAGAGGACATAAAATTATTAAGAAGCTTCTCTATGAATTCTGTAAAATCCGGTTCATAACAATTATGCTTAGTTGAAAAGCTTATGTAGAAGATCATTTATACTATTTTTCATACAATTTTTATTTATTTAACAAATAGAATTTTTTTTCATGATTCAGGATATTCACCTATTCAACCTATTCAACTAGAATTTAATTAATTTCAGCAAAATAAACCGATTCCACCGATATTAGTATTATCAAACTACTCCCTAATTTGGTGAAAATGTAAAAGGTTTGCGCAGCATCCGAATTTGGAATGCCCGCCTTTAACCGTCACGTCTTATAGTTTGGCGTTCCAACCGCAAAATTTAAAGAAGCAAATTAAAACTGCAATTGGATTTTACTCTCCAAACAACAATTAACAACAATAATAATCTCCTTAATCCGTTTAAACACCGCAATGTCCAGAAGGTACATAAAGCTGCGGAAGAAACTCAGGGAACTCGAAACGGGAGTGGTGGAGTTGCTCATACTCCCGCCGGAGTCGCCGCACCGCCACAGCCTCTCGGACGGCGTGGAGGAGCGCCTAGAGTCACTGAAGGCGCTCCTCTCATCGGAGATGTCGTCAGCATCAAACGTGAATCCGGACCACCTGCTGCAAATCGCTGAGATTCTCTCAGAATTGGACATGACATTCAGATGCGCGGCTGCTACTGGAGCCGCCGATGAGTGTTCGAGCCCGAGCGGCGGCGGAGGCAGCAATGTGGGGCAGATCGAGATGGCGGATTTAGGTTTTAAGGTCTACGACGTTCCAGAGGAGTTGACCGATGATAATGCTGGAGATGAATTAAAAGGAAAAGAAGACGTCTATGAGGAACGGCGTGATTGGCCATTAATTAATGACGTCAAAGAAGAAGACGGTGAGAAACGGCGTCGTATATTGCCAGCAGCGATTACAGGGGTCAAAGAAGAAGGCAGTGAGGAACGGCGTCGTACATTGCCAGCGGTTAGCGGCGTCAAAGAAGAGTCGGAAATAGCGTGGGCTCGCGCAGGCAATAATTTTTATAAAGTGTGGGGTACGGGTGTGGTGATTGGAGCATTTTCAATGGCGGTGTTCATGGCAAAATTTTCTGCTTGTTTTTACGTTATTGACTTCTTAGGCCCCTTAACTCCTACATAATTACTTGGCAAATTAAGATTCAGTTTTTAAGAACACAAGTAGTAATTAGTATGTGATCTCAATCCAAAATATGAAATGGCTAGTTCATAAACTACACGTTACTTAAGCTTAATTTAATAGGTTGATCGAATATGCTATAACGAGTAATCATTATTGGAGGCAGATAAAAATTTACTCTTGAATTATAGGAAGTGTGTAAACACATCTCTCAATTCTCATTCAAATAATTTAACAAAAAAATATTACCTTCGTCCCGGTTAAATGTTTTCATTGCAAAATAGCATAATTATTTGACAATAATTAAATACGATAATTTGAGTATATTATGTTAAATAGATGGAAATATAATATAATTAAATATAATATAATGAAATATGATAATTTTGATGATATAGATATATTATATTTGTTATTTGATGATTAAATTGTCATTTAAGATTGATAATTATTTCCTAAAATAGAAATGAGAACCTTTGTATATGTAGTCCACAAAATAAAAGTAGAAACCTTAGACGTTATTATCCATTCATGATATAATAAACTTGCTTTTTTATAATAGTATCTTTTTTAAGTTCGATTCTATATTCTGATTTATGTTATCCGTTCTCAAACTATTTTGAGACTAAAACTTGGACGTTGTTGTAGTTGACCAATGACTATTGTTGTCTTGTCTAGTCTAGAATTTATGTTGTTGCCGTTTAACTACTACAACTATCAGAATATACGCACTATATATGATTTTGTTGTTGTTGAGATTTGAGATCGGTTAGAGTATCTTCAATGCAATAATGTGCACAGTGCACGTGTGAGACATTAATTTTAATCAATTCAACCAGAAAGTAGTCCACTCACTTAATTATTATAATACTACATACGTTTCAGTGCACAAAATTAAAAACTTAGAAAATCGGCTTTCCGTCTTTTTCTATCATCCTCTCATATAGTATCTCATGGTGTGATCATCTACTTTTACAAATAGTTGTCTAATCTAATACTTCCTCCGTCTCGAAAAGGTTCGCCAAATTGATTCTTTTATCAATGCCAATCAACTTTGACCAATGATATTGTTTAATACGATAATTATTTTGAATATGAAAATTATATCAAAATTACTAACACATCATCCAATAGCTATTTCTTGCAAGCTCCTACATAGTGTATTCATTTTCTAGCGGGAAGTTTGATTATAATAATTATTAATTTAGGTACTGTCAATACATGGACTGAATGTGCATTTTAATCATAAAGATGTGGAATGTTATTAAAATCTCGTCAATCTAACCAATTAAGCCTCTTGAGTTGTACTATTTTGCTTTAGCCACCCCATAATTGTGTCTTTCGATTCTAGTTAATTGCGTAGCATATAATTGTGAGAGATCATAACTAAAGACTGATGAAGTTTGTTGAACCTTAGCCACTAGAAAGTGTTACACGTCAACAATATCTCTTACATCAAAACTGGTTTACCTCGATGATTCATATCCTATTTCTTAGAGGGAAAAAGATTAGAAAAAACCAAGGTGTTCATAATTCAAATACCTTTGGACTCAGAAATTAGAGGTTCAATAAGAATGACCAACACCCTTCTAGATCCTAGAGATTGAGTGTAGTTTCCGACACTAAAAAGAGATACCAAGCATATTCCACAATAGGTTATTCATCATTAAACATGAGTATAAAGAGCATTATTTTTCCAATGATCAAATGGTGCATAATAGAGAGAAGGGTTCATACAAAAAAGAGGACACACGCATTCTCTTGCGAACCTTAGTTGCTTTGTCTCAAGCAACCAATTAGGTTTGTATAACTTTTATGCATTACTTTTCAAACCTAAACAAAATAGTTTTCAATCATTTCCAATAAATATACACACTCTTGGTTTAGATTTGTATGATTTTATGCATTACTTTTAGTTTTTATTTACAATATGTGAACACAATATATAAATAGTACAATTTTGAGTTATGCCAAATTAATAAAGTCCATGAATTTTTGTAAACTATATACTCACCCGTATAAAAGAGAGGTCTTCTAATAAAAAACATGATCATCTCTCACCCAAAGAATGATTGATTAAATAAATTTTAAATTTAAAATTGTGAAGGTTTAATCGAAAAAACAACTCTGGTGAGATTTGGACTTGAAAATACTTGTAACTCAATTTGTGGTTGAGCATCATTTTTGACAAGTAACATGTGCTTTTCAAAGTAATAGACCTCCAACAAAAATTAGTTTATTTTGTCTCTCTTAGTAATGCTTCAACACTTTGCTTTCATGTGTAGGGTTAACTAATTCCTAAGAACTAGTAAACTCTATATATGCTCCCCAACTGCTCCTTATATGCTAAATAATCGTCACTAGACTGCTTGTAGCGACAAAGTTCCTAGTCTCCTTGGGACCTCGGCTCCTGTCGACCTCGCTCCACCCTCTACCCCAAGGGTTACTGCCCAGCTTAGCCATCTTTCCTCGCCTTTTGCTTTGGACAATTGGACTCCCAGCTGATGAATTGACAAAGATGGCATGTATTGAGGTACTCCATATTCGTCTCACACTACTAATTTTGCATGCGCCTTATTGCTATTACCTTCCTTTCTTGGGTTTACTAAAAATTAGGATTTTTAAAACCTAGTCTCAAATTTTCATGAACTGGTATACCATATGACCACAACATGAACCTAACTTGTAGTTTTATAAGTGATTAAATCAACTTGCGATTAAGTAAAGTGTAAAATGTTATACTTTTAAATGAATTGTCCTCATGAATTGTTACTCCTACTTGTATGAACTTTCATAAGTTTTTACTTTTTAGATTGATTTGTTACTCCTACTTTTATTATTAGCAAAGTTTAGGTCCTTTAGGATGTTGGAATTTAAAATAAAACTAGACAATGATGGGTGTCTCAGTGCTTTCATGTTTTCTCTATTCCATTAAGGTCTTAAGGTTTAAAGGCTTGGGCAGTTTTGCCAATAAACATATGTATGGTCATAATAATTAACGTGATATCATGAATGGCATCTAAGAACATATATAATATATTTTATAAAACATGAATGCATAACAAGATGTCAAGATAGACTTTCACCTTAAGGTATTATAATCATTATAAATTTTATCACATACGATGCATAACTAAGATTCCAACAATGCATGTTAAAGGCTCCTTTGGCAAATGACCAAATGTTATGCCACTGTCCACTTTTAATAATTTTTAAAGTATTTTTTAAACATGGAAGGGATAAAAGCATTCATGTATAAATGGTGCATCAATTTGTTGTAATTTTGTTAGTATTATTTAAGTTATCCTTAGCATTAGTATAATTAGTATATTGATGTAGCCCCTTTCTCCCAATTTTTTACATTTTTGAAACTATAATTTTATTTGCTATTGTTTATTGTAAATAACTATAATATAGATGATGAGCTAGAATTTTTACTTCATTTTTGAATTATTTTGTCACAATTCTATGCTTATTATTTGCCTAATTAAGAGGTTTGAGTTATATTTTGTGTTAAAATCGATTATTTGCAGGTAAGGATGTTAATTGAAGAATTTAAAAATTTGTTGGGCAGAATGGAGAAGAATAGTGTCATTTGAAGTGGAGTTGCAAATTGAGGAGTTGTTCATAAAGTTTTCAAAAACAAATTGGGCTTATATCTCAACTCAAACAAAAGAAAAGGGCCCAAGAACATCTATTGAAAAATAAAACATCTCTATTTGAGCAAATAAAAAATCCACTTTTGGTCTCATGACTATTATACCATTTCCACATTTACTTCTTTACTTTCAGATTGTCCACATTTAGTCCGTGACCATTATCTCCTTACCACCCTCGGTTCTTCCGGCCAAAATTCCAGCAAATTTAGTCCACTTCTCAGCCTCAGAATCAATTTTTGCATTTAATTTTGTATCAGGTTGGTTTTTCATATCAGTCTTTGCATTAAATTTGGTTTTTCATACCTAAAATCTGCATTAAATTTGCCGGAATTTTGGCCGGAAGGACGAGAGGTGGTGAGGGGATAATGGTCATGGACTAAATGTGGACAATCTGAAAGTAAGGGACTAAATGTGGAAGTGGTATAATAGTCATGGGACCAAAAGTGGAATTTAAAAAAAAAAAAAAAAAGAGACCACAAGAGCGGCGAGAGACTGCTGGTCTCATCAGTTAGAACGGCAGGGAAGGTTTAGGAGATTAGCAGGTATAGCGGCAGAACGATTGAACCGGCTGTAATCCTTCGCTATAAAAAGTGAAGCCAAGGGAGAAGAGTCAGGGGCGGAAGAAAATAAGCCGGACGCAGGGGATTTCTGGCAGCAAGGGGTTTCAGAGAGAAGGGCGGCTAAGAGTGAAGAGTCGGAGCCGGACAGGGAAGTTGAGGACCGTTTCTGCCAAGAAGGGAGAGCGCAAACCTTTGCGGAAGATTTTCTGCATTTCAGGGGTTAGCTTGATTGTGAGAATTTTAATTTATCTTTGTGAAATCTTTATTTGGTTGCTTCTGGCAGTTTTTTTGAACTTAACACTTCGGTAGTTTGCTGCTCTTTTCAATTTTAGTCATTAAAATGGTTATTAGAATAAATTGCTTTACTCTTATTGTTTTAGTTTATTTTTCTATGAGTAGCTAAATTCTTTAAGTCCGGATTGTGATGAAGTTGCTATGATTTAGTATGAATTGTGATTTTAGTTATGTCAATTGGTTGAGTTTTATACATTGATCTTCTTCGCTTAATTTGTTATGTTAATTTCTGGCCAACTTTAATATGACTAATTAAGTTGTTTGAGTGGATTAATAGAGTACATGCCATGCCTATTAGTTCGAGCTCTTTTGGATAAAAGAATAGATCATTCAACTGTCTTGTTAAATTATCTATTTGGTTCCTAAACCGGGTTTCCGTACGTAGTTCTTTTGTGAGAATTTTAACTATTGAATTAATAATTTCTAATTGATTAATAGTTAAAGTGCGTGACTTATTCTGGACGCCATACGGAATAGTCATATTAATGCCTAGAACGAACCCTCAATTTCAATTGACTAACTAAATCACAAATACTAAAAATTAGTAACTGAATCATAATCCTGGACTATCTTTTCTCTTTCTAAATTCTCAATCACTTTTCTGTTAGTTGTTTAATCACTTTATTTTTATTCATTTAAATTCCTTGCATTCATTTTAATTCAAGCTTTATTTTTTTAGTTTAAAATCAAACAAATTCAAAACTCATTTTTTTAGTTAGATTACTTTCACTTTTATTTTTATTAATAGTTTTCCAATTACTTAGTTGCATTTTCCCCGTGGATTCAACCCTTACTTAAGCACCGTACTACCGTGACTCGTGCACTTACGAGGACTTATAAATTGTCTATCAATAGATGAACAAGTTTGTTTGTGAGGAATTTGCTAATTTGGGCCATGATCAAGATGATATTTTGGATGACGAGAAAGAAGTTATATCTGACAACGATGATAGCGATTGCGAGATTAGTACCGATGATGAAAATCAGCAGGGTAGTGAGAATGAAGACAACATTCAATTACTAGCTACTGATCATCATTTTAGAAGAATATATGACATATCATCTAGTGAGATTCGGGATTTGGAATTTGATACTCGACATGAAGCTTGCAAACATATGCAAGATGTAAGGGGTTTGTTGCGAGGAAACATAATCTTTCTCGAGACAGGAACAAAAATATTACAATGCAACAATTGGTATGTAATAGAGCTGGATTGAGGCAAAAAAATTACTTGGAGAAGGTAGATAGGAAAAAACCACATGCACCAATCACACGCACGAATTGTAAGGCTAAGTTTTGTGTGCGCTTGGATAGAAAAAATCAAAATGGATCGTGTTATTTTGTGGAGCAACATAATCATTTTTTGACTCCTATGTATGTCCACCCGTTTCCCGCTTATCGTGCCATGAATGATGCAAACAAAGCCCAAATTGATATCTTACACATGCAGGGTGTTCAGACGTGTCACATTATGGGGTATATGTTGGCTCAAAAAGGAGGGTATAATGGAATTGGTTTTTCAAAAAAGGATCTATATAACTATCTTGACAGACATAAGCGTGTTAAGATTCAAGATGGGGATGCACCATTTTTGATAACTAAGAACATTCGGAACTTTCCTAGTAACCTGATATGTGGATTAAAAAGAGTAAGAGTGATATAATCTCTTCAATGTCATCAAGTGAAGTAGATGTTGATGTTATGATATTTGCTCGCTTTGGTGGTTTAGCAGCTTCTTGTAATAGACTATGTAAAATTGCTGCCAAAAAGACTGAATACTTTGATGAATTTAGAGATGAGATACTTAGACTCACTCATATGTTAGAGCAGCTTGGTGATCAAGGGAGTAGTCATGCATCATTTGTTGAAGATATTGGTGATCCTATTGCAGTGATGACAAAAGGTGTCCAGTGAAGAAAAAAAGGAGGTAAAAGGAGACGGTGTTCGAACTGTAACAGTGTAGGACATGTAATAACAACATGCCCAAGGATAGCTTCCGATAACAATGGCACTCAAAATGATGACATTATATATTTGGATGACAACCAAAGATGTCATGTTAGTTTATTAATTTATACATATATTTACATATGTTAGCATACTTTTATATTTTAAATTCATTTTTTAGTATGCATGTGTGTACAAGTTATGTTTATAATATTGCAGGGAAAAGGAACCTTTCTACATGAAGACAATCACAGTAACAAAACCAATTGTAGTAATGAGATGTATAAATGTGATGATATTGATGGTGTTTGGAGCAAGAATAATGGTGGTTGTCCTAACTGCAGAGTTAGTGAAAAGAAGAGATCTCATGTAATCGTCTTTTGTATTAATGCTTGTAGAAAAAGAGTGAAACTTCTAAACTTTTCTAATTATAGTTATTATTTTGTTGCAGGTTAAAAAATCAAGAAATGTGAATCTACAAAAAGTTTATCAAAGGTTCATGTAAATGAGAGATCCAAGGTCAACGAGTTAATAATGAGTTATATATACTAGTGATGTATTATTTTATATAACGTTGTTGATGTTAATGCAACAATTAGAATTGAATATTAACGACACTTTTCAAAAGAGTGGAATACTAATTGATCAGTCATCAAGCCTTTCAAGTGAACGTTTGCATGGGACTATATATGCAACAATATTCTTTGTTATTTCTGACACATCTGTTACAAGCCAATAGTTCTCAGTCATAGAATTATTGGGTTCCCTCTACCAATCCATATGGTGCACCTCTTTTGCATCCGAATAATCCATTACTTCCACAAATGGTTCAATATCGACAAGTTATGAATTCTATAAAAAGTTAGGGTGCTATTTTATTCATAAAAGCAAGGGTGATACTTAATGGCATGTAAATAATTATTTTTCTCTATAACCTTTGTTATTTAGTTCACCTAAGTTAGTCAAGTGCCCAATGATGGTGGTGGAACTTCTTGGAAAGTTTTGCTCAAAGGAGTCATTAAAAATGGTGCTCAAACAAGTATGTATTATATGTACAAAAACTTAATTGATTTAGTTTGTTTGTTGTTATGATAATCTGAAAATTACAGTATTAAAACTAGTATTTTATACTAACACTTTTACTACATGTAGGTGGTACACATGGTCATCTTCCTTGATATTACAAGGTATAGTCTTAGTGGAGGTGGAAAATGAATGAACAAAGAAATGCAGATATGAAGAAGTGTTGGTAATGAAGTAATTGTTACCTATGTAATTGTTTTTGGATGACTCTAATCAATTGAGGTTCTTTTGATTTTCCTAATATTGTATTCCACTATTCTGGTATCAATATTTAATAAAAATGTAATAAAATTTGGTTAATATGTTTTAATTTTAATTTGTATTTCTCAATGCCATATGGATTGTTTATGTCCTGAGGTTGGATCTTTTATTTATATTATTTGTAGGTGGTATGGTCATCATCCTTGATTTTGATAGTACTTGTTTTGTTTGTAAATATTCTCAACCAGTTCTAAGAAATAAACAGTTATTAGGAGCAAGTGATGGCTAACAAGCCAATAGAAAGAATGATTGTAATAATGGGTGTCTTGGAAGTTATTTTAATTTTGGGTTGATTTAAGATAAATCACAAAAGATTTCTTTTTAATTAATCTCTTATATTATGTTCATGTTGTCTTCCTTTGTAATTGTACTCCGTATATACTAAGGAGACACAATTTTAGGCATAGAAAAAGGTTTTGTTTAGATTTATGTGTATTTAAGTTTTCAGAAAAAAGATGAAAAACTATTGCAAGTTTGTCTTTATCAAGAGCAAGAAAAGATTGTCATTTAAAGCAAAAGGGTCCATTCAACTCTTGTGGTCACATGATGAATTGGTTGAAGGCTTGGTTACAGAGGCGTCTTTAGTACTCCGGAGGCCCCAGGCGAAAAATACTTAATATTAACATATTATATTAATGTGATTTTTACAACACAAAAGACAAAAAAAAGATAAATTGAATAAAAATACACATCTGAAAAAAAACACAATAAAAGAAAAAATGCATATTCAAAGAGTAGTCAACATCAAAATTTAAATGTAAACATATACAAAATAGACCAAAACTTACACTTCCTCCGCCCCAAAACCTTATCATTTGTCTCTTTTGGACGTTTCATTTAAAAAGTTCTCATTCTCATTTTAATTTTAGAATATAGTTAACTCTTTTATGACAATATAGTCATCAATAACAACAACATCCAAGGCTTATTCCCAAAATTTTTTGATATTGAATTAATGATAAAGTAAGAATAACGTAAGATTGATTTAAAGTTACACAAACTTTACTAAAATTGATATGAGACAATCTTAGTAGTACTTCTAAATTTGCCCCAGTAACATACTTACAAAAAGATAAAAAATAAAGCAGTCAACAAAAAACTAAAGTTCACAAATATAATACGGAGTAATAATCAGTGAAAATAAAAAATAACCAAATAACTACGACCATCAAACTAATTAAACATTACTTCAATAATTCATTAATATGGTGGCTAGTTGGAGTAGTTGCTACGAGCCTACCATTTAATTAGAGTTAAAATCACTTTATCTATCTTTGGGCTACCAATATATCAAAAACATGATATCTTTGCTTCCAAACTACTAAAATTAAAATAGATAATTTATACTATAAATTATTTTTTTGAGACCCCACTAAAATATGAGGCCCAAGGCATTTGCCTTGGCCAACTCCCCATATGGCCACCCCTGCTTGGTTATGGGCAAGCAACCAAGCACCATGCTATATTGCACCAAATAATACACTTTTGATACAAAAATCATTTCATACATGTTAGTCCCTGTTTCTTTCACAGCAATGAATAATCGATCTAACAAAGGAAGATTAAACGTAAAGATGAAACAGAATGAATCACCGTAAAACCTTCTTTGATAAACCGTGGAACGTACAGCAGAATGATAAGCGTAAGGCTATGAAATAATAAGTACGACGTTCAGCCTTTTCCTAAACCTCGGCTCCCTTTTTATAGGCGAGGTTTAGGTTAGGTGAAACAGGCTTTTGGCCTGTCTAAATGGGCCTAACACTTGGCCTGATTTCTATCTAATTTATGCACTTAATTAAATACAAGGATTAAATATAAAGCTAATCTATGACCAACTTGATTCACAATTAAATATCTCCAACAATCTCCCCCTTTGTGATCAAGTGCCATTCTCTTATTGCTTCTGTGATTTGAAGTAGTGCTTTCTCAATCCAAGTGCATGTTCATACTGTCTTAGCATATTTCTCTTTTCGAGGCGATCGTCAATGGCCTTTAAAATTGTCTCTACAGTAGAGTGTTCCTTTTGAACATAAGACGATGCCTCTTGAAGATTTTCTTCCAGCTTTGCCTTCATCTGTAGAATCTGCTCTCTGATTATCTTCAGTGTTCCGTCGCAGTACTTCTCAATTTCACTGACTACCATCAGACGCTTTTCGTTCTTGTGGTTCAGATAGGTGACTGCTGGCGGTTTGAAGAAGATGTGGTAGGCTGGGAAATCTTCAAGTTCTGGACCATACAGTTTTGGCTTTGTCAGATTTGTCTTCTTCAGATTGCATTCAATAGCCATCTGTAGGTCATGTGAAGAGTGTACTCTGATCTGTCTAAGCATGAATCTCTTGATAGCTGCGAGGCCTTCGCTGTATACTATGTTCTGCCTGACTGGAAGGTATCTGTAGGCCATGAGCATTTGGTAGATGTCATCCGGTTTCAGCATGATGAAGTCGTTCTCTTGACAAGTGAATTCGCTCCCATCGGTGCGTTGAAGTCTGAAGGTGTAGAATGTTACTCCATGATAGTCTTCAGCCTTCACTTGTAGAATTTGATGTATCGGGAGAATATTCGACTTCAGATCTTGTTCCATCAGTTCTCTCTGTGTACCGGTTGACCTTTGAAGCAACATATGTAGATGACCTCCAGCCTGCTTTCCTTTCAAGTGAGTAAGGCCTCTTAGCTTCAGTTCGTTCAGTGGCTTGACTTTGTCTGGTCTACGCCAGATATGCTCTCTGATTTCTTCTTGGAAGGGGGCTTTGATTCGAACGTTGTCCCAGGGTTTCTCTGTCTTGGGAAGTCTTCCCGCTGATTGTCTTACGACCGATTCAAGAGCTTTCTGGGATTCCTTGTAGTTCTCCCCTTCCTTGCGTTCATCGTCCTCGAGCCGTATAATATCTTCAGAGCATTTGTTGATCAGCTCTCGTAGCCACCAGTTTCTTTGCATGTCTTCTTGCTCGGCTTCAACCCGGAGATCATCCCATTCTGTCCATTTTCTCGGCCATTTGTCGTATATCACCGCCTCTTCCAGTGCATCATGGATGTCTTTGCCTGGGGAGATGTATGGAGTTCTTTGTTTAGGCGGTGATTGTTCCTGTGTAGCACTACCGGGTTCACTAGGATTGCCCGTTGACATCAGCTTAGAACTGGGTTCCAACTGATGGCCTGATGGAGAAGATGTACCAGTGGTATCATCATCAGGACTTCCATCCCCTCCTCGGTTGGTATCTCTAGGAGATACGCCTCGGGATGTTATTTCTAGCTCGACCACGCTAGAGAGTTTGGCTGTGGATGGTGGCTGTTGGTTTATTGAGGTTTCAGGTTGAATTGGCTGTGGAGTTTGGCTTGGTAGAGCAGTTTGCTCAAGTGATCGAGGTCGCTTGTTCTCCCCCTCATGAGGATCCGAATCATCGGGGTCCTCATGGGAACGTTTGCGACCACGAAGACTCTCCTTGCAAGTACTCTTGGTTTCGGGTGAGGAAAGAAGAGCTTCTAGTATGGCTTGCTGATGAAGAGTGAGGTCGTCTTCTGGGGTATTTAAGAGGTTATTCAGCAAAGCCGAAGCTAGGGTGTCAAAGGATAGGGAGGAGAGATCGATGGAGGGTGTGGTCGGGTGTGGGGAGAATACTGGTTCTGTATTCTGGGTTCCCCGAGAAATAGAAGGGATAGGAATTTGGTTGATGGATTGGTGGGATAGAGGGGTGGAGGATATGGGTTGTGTATGGGAGATGAACGGTTCAGGAGAAGGTTGGGGTGGTGTCTGTTCAGACCGAACCGCTTGGGTGGTCCTAAATTCCTGTGCTAGAGCGGTCATTGCATCTTGCACCCATGGTTTAATGGTGGAATCTAGGAAGCGATTTAGTAGAACGTTTACGTCTTCAAAGGTAGGGTGACCAGTTACGGGGGTTGTAACTGTTGACACAGCATCAGTGAAGATTGCTGATGTGTGGCCTGCATTTAATGATGGAATCATTATGGGCGTAGCAGGGCTTCCAACCGTCATAGCTTGCGCTCTGGTTGTTGCGTTCAGGGTGAGTGCATCTGTATGTGCTGTGAATAGTGTAGGTGTCCTAGAAAAGGAAGAAAATGTGGGAAATGTGGCACCTAGACTCGATGTGAGTGAAGAAGGGGTTTTGACCTCGGGAGATAGGTCAATTGTATGCTCAACTGATTCAGAAGGAACCAGCGAGGGGGTTGAGTCCCGTTCTTTTGAAACAATAGCCTTTTGAGAGGCAATTGAGTGGCTGGGAGAGGGCTGTGCATGCGCAGTTGAGCCAGATGCTGCGACTTCTACTCGGGAACCGAAAAGATCGGCTCCTGTGCTTAGGGATTCGGCTCGGCTTATCTGGATAAAGGAGTCGCAGCCCGCAAAGATGTGCTCATCTGTCTTATCAAACAGACTCTTTTGCGCTCGGGGCTGGGGCTTGGTCTTAGCAACCTTGTCATTTTTGACCTTAGCCCTGGTCTCTCGGATGACAACTTCTTCATGGTTGATTGATGTCTTGATGGAGTGAGCTGCCTCGTCGTAATCATCCTTTGAGCAATTAGTCTCGCTTGGATCAGCTCTTGGTTTAGTTGTTTCTTTTATGGTGAAAACTTGAGGTCTGCGAGCTATGATTGGTGCTGCGTCTTCAGCAGTGATTCTTCTCTTCTTTGGAGATTCGACGGGCAGCTTTCCTTTTCTGATAAGGGCATATGTGAGCTCCACATCATCACTGTCGTTGTCATCATTGTCATCATCCGAGTCAGATTTTTCACTCTCCGTGCCTACGCTCTCAGAAGCCTCGTCGTCAGTATTCGTTTGGGCTTCACTTGACGATTCATTGGCCGTATCCTCAGCGTCTTTTTCGGTGCCCTCAGCCGCCTGACTCGTCTCTAGAGAGTCGTCAGACTTCCCTTCATTGGGCAAACCGGCCACTGGTTTCTCTGGCTTTTGGGCTCTCTTAGGACCCTTACTTACACTCGGCTTTGTCCCTTGGGTAGGTCCAGCTGGGTTTTGCTGAACCATAGGGACGGTCTTCTCGATTGCTTCCTTGTATTGCTGAATGGCTGGGTTTGAA